AAAAAAAAAAAAACGTCTTCGATGAGGGTGTCTCGTTAATCGGCTGCACTGTATTGGATATTCGGGGATGTTTGACCTTGAGGAGTATTGTGGAGAGGCGAGTTATGCTGTGGCTTCGATCTGGTTGTGTCGGAAATATTGTTTTATAGCTAGGAGCCGCTGATTTGATTCAAAACGTTCTAACGAAGTGGGATTGAGCATGCTCGAAACCTCTCTGAAGTGTAAACACTCATAGCTGTTCCGGAGCTCCTCACGATGGAATTCTGCTGTCCACCTAGGAGAGATGCTAGCATGATAACCCCCGAACAGTGTCAGAAAGCTCGAGCTAAGTTAATACGAGTGTTCATGAAAATGATGAGTATAATGTCCGTGGAGTTGCTCGTCTACATGCTGGATTGGTGATGGAGATTAATATATTAAGTTAATTATGTAGGTCGAAAGCATACATATCGTGGAAGACAACTGCTTCCTTTATGGAATAATTAATAAAGATTAAAATAAAATCAATCGTTTGTAAGCAGCCCGAAGGCTGACAGACGATGCTGTGTCCTTTAGACTGACTTGAATCTTTGTATCCGCTAGTGCAAAGAAAAAGGAAGTTGTGTTAGCAGGAGGTTTAGATATACTGCCATTCTCTTCCCTCATTGTCTTGAGGACGTGATGGGCACGCTCGGCCTCCTAGAAGACTTCTAAGCTCCAAGTTAACCACTAAATCCGTCTCGAAATAACAGTGAAGAGTAAACAGCCTTTAAAGCACACAATCCTGCCGCACTATATACTGAAAACATTAAAGCACTTTCTCACTATTTTACAGTATCAACTCGCGAGAGACAGAGGGGAAGAGTACGTATATAGCTTCTAGGGTTTTTTAGCTGCCGGCTAGGCACAGAACAGTGAATTATTCTAACTATTAGAAAAGGTATGGGGTTCTAATAATGTAAGCGTATAATAGGTGTCTAAGAGTTAAGTTTTCTATACTTCGATATTACTGAGAGGAGCGTTCTCTGTCACTATTAAGTTTAGTATAATCTGTTAGGACTAAAGACTATAATTACTTCCCCCTACTTATAAAAGTTCGTGTCCCTAGTCTAGTAGTATAAGTCCCTAGTAACACTAACGCCTTTATAATTTAAGTAGCGTTCGATTTCCGTATTAGGCCTTTTCATCCTTCTCTAGTTTCTCGCAACGGAGATTGTTTTCTCATAAATGCTAAATAGGAGTCCTAGCTTTTTTATTTAACTAAAGTTGGAGCTATATATTTGAGTTCGTTATAGTTATTCTTTATCTTCCTTTTCTCTTCTCTTTATAACTGTCTGTAACAGTTGCTTGTCGGTCCAGTCTGTTTATTTGTTACTGACAGTAGCGGAGTTCCCAACACTTTTAATCTTACAGTCGACCTTGCTGTCAGAATTCAAAAGTCGTCGTTCTCTTCGGCATCTAGGTGAGAGGTATACTAAGCGACAAAAATGTTGTGCAGACAGAGTCTACTTATATAAACAGCCAGTCTCCCGTAGTAAGCAGCTGGAATACTCTATCTCTCGCAGCAACGCTTATTGCTCGATCAACGACCACCTCTTGTTCCTGCTTCACTGCTGGGTGCGCGGCCTTTGCATTCTGTCTGTTAAATCTTGTATAATCCCCGCGAAGCTAACCAGCGAGATCTCAGCCCTCAATTTCAGATACGCAGCAGATAACGATGATATGCTACATTGTCGTTGACCAGTTACGCTAATCATCATTATCATCTCACGAACACCTTTATCACATATTGTTCTAACCTAGCAAGCATTCTTTAGAAAAAAGATGTTCTGCAGGACTGCAAAAACAAGCGCGCTATATGATCGTACTGTGCAGGATGTCGTTCCACGTTTGCAACGGCATGACAGTAGTTCTCGTGAAGATAACCGGTAATGGTCTCGGATATGAAAATACTGCTTTTATTATTAGCCGCCTCTAAAACCCTTGATCTTTCTCGGTTCGATTTGGGCCAAGGTATTTAGGCCTTCCTAGCAATGGTGCTTTATCAAACGGCCCATTTCTCCCCTAACGACTATAAAACCCCTTAAAAATAACGTATTCGAAGCTGCTTATTCACAAGAACGAGGTTCCGGACGAACTCTGAGTTCACTTTTAGACACATACATGGAAAGGCCCGACTAATGCCCTGAGTGGTGCAGAACACTAATACACCGAGAACCCGGCTAAAGTACCTAGCAGCTGACATTCGAGCCTACGGTTGCTTGATGTGTCACTGTGTGGATCTAGCTTTATGGATTAGTGTAGGTCGATAATACTTAGTTGCTGTCAGCGTCCTCACTGCGTGCGAGTCAAGTAACTAAGGTTGTATTTTGCGCCATCGCCGTTGATTGCTCCTCTCAACGTTCTTGTCGAAGGCCTTTCTAAAACCGAGGTTGAGACATAGAAACCCGTGTCTTGATCCACGCTCTAATCTGATATAAAACCCATCCCCATAGCCAACCCAACCCCAAGCACGCAAGAGCCTCCCTCCCTAAGAGCACTGCCTCAATGGAAAATGCTCTTCCACCTTCCACGACGAGCGAGCTACAGGGGGCGAGCTAAAAAAAAAAAAAAAAACAGCCACAAATCACCACACAAAACCCCCACCCAGCCGCCCACCTACCAACCATCACCACCACCGCACACCAGCACCTCCTCCCAAGCATGCTCGTAAACGAATGGTAGAGATAACGCCAATCGCCACTGACGCCAAGCAAAGGTACTCAATCCGAACAACCCCGTGCTTGCGCCGTGTACGACTGGTAAGCCTAAGCCACTTACACTGTCCCCGCACAGCCACCACAGTTGTACGACTCTGTCTTTTCTCTGTAGGAGTTGCGTATGTGCAGCACACTGTCCTCAAATTCTGTTCACAGGCTATATAAACCACGAAAAAGACTAGCTCCCATCATTCCCGGGCATAGCGTGGCCGAGTTAGACCTGTATGACCTAGCATATATATGCAATTAACACTTTTCCAATATCGGCAGCGGCGATGACAGCGTAAGGAATGGCAAGAGATAGCAGTTGTGATATTGTGTGTATACACACATACGATTCGATTTGGGTATGTAAAACATTCAGTTTTAGGTGTCATGGCGTGAATGAGTATGTACGCATTTGTATGTATGTACATGTATGTACATGTGAGGAAGTAAACAAGGGATGTAAGCGAGGGATATATGTCCGTGTCTGCGTTTGTTTGTATGTACGTACGTGTATCTGCGAAATGTATGCACAAACCAAAGGCAGAAAGGGAGAGGGGAAGATAGGCAAGAAGATGAAGGGGAAGGGGATATGCCCAGCAGGGAAGAAGAAGGGGAGCAAGCAAACCCGCCACCCACGTTTTCCTAAAACACGCCAGCCGTCTCCCTCCACTGCCGAAACAGCCACGCAACTGTCGCACACACTTAAGCGTCAGCAACGTCATCCGTACCCAAACCCCCCAAACCACAAAAGAGGCAGAAAAAGAGGGGAAAGAGAAAACACCACACTCACCAAGCAGCAGCACGACCCACCTCCCCGCCATCCCCCTCAAGCCCCTCGCACCCAACCTGACCGCCCAAGCCACACGGCCCACAAACCCCAGCCTTACATTCCCCTCGCGGTCAAACCCCGGCTTCAGCTCGCTCATGCGCGCCAAATCCCGCGCCTTGCGCGCCGTGTACGGCGGATACCGCACGCCGAGCAGCGGCTCCATCCACGCCGGCGTGCTCGTGACGCTGCGTCTGTGGGAGAAGACGTCGAAGGAAGCGCGGCCGCGGTAGGCGCCTTGGCCGGAGGAGCCGACGCCGCCGAAGGCGAGGGTCGGGATTGAGGCGTGGAAGAAGCCGCTTTCCCCCCGGATTAGCTTCTGTGTGTTTTTGTGTTTTGTTTTTGGGGGTTGAAGGTAAAGAGGGAGGGGAAGGGAAAGTGGGCTTACTCGTTGATGGAGGCGCCGCCCGAGCGCGTCCGGTCCAGCACCCGGCTTGTTTCCTGCGCGTTGCCGAAGGGGTAGACGCCCAGCGGGGTGTCGTGGACCCGGTTCGCGATGCGGATGGCCTCGTCGAGGTCGTCGAACGGGAGCAGCGGGATGATGGGGCCGAAGCTCTCCTCGGCGATCAAGCTATCCTGCGGACTATCGACCTGGACGACCGTGGGCTCCAAGAACAACTCGTCCTCGTCCATGGTGCCGCCCAGCAGGATCTTGCCCGCGCTCTCGTCCAGCATGCGCTTCAAGCGCTGGAACTGGCGCGCGTTGACAATGCGGCCGTAGTCGGGGCTGTTGCGGGCGCCGTCGGGGAAGAACTCGTCAAAAGCATTGCGCAGCTCGGCCACCAGGGCGGGCAGCACCGCCGCGTCCACCAGGATGTAGTTCTGGCTGACGCAGACCTGGCCCGCGTTGTGCAGCTTGGCCCAGAGCAGGCGGCGGGCGGCCAGGCGCGGATCCGCGTGGCGCGCGACTATGGCCGGGTTCTTGCCGCCCAGCTCCAGCGTCACGGGCGTCAGCGTCTCGGCCGCCTTCTTCGCGATAATGGTGCCCACGCCCACGCCGCCCGTGTAGAATATCTTGTCCCACTTCTGGTCCAGCAGCGCCGTCGACTCGGGCACCCCGCCCTGCACCGTCGTGTACGCCGTCGTGTCCAGCGACTCTTGCATGATCTTCTCCATGGCGTACGCCGCTGCGGGCGCGTTCTCGCTCGGCTTGAGCACCGCCGTGCACCCCGCCGCAATGGCGCCAATCAGGGGCCCGATGGACAGCTGGATGGGGAAGTTGTACGCCCTGCGCGCTCGCTGTCAGTCCTGTCCTCGCTCGTTCGCTACCACCCGTGACAGACATACCCGATCACCAGCACGCAGCCGAGCGGCTCCTTGCGGATCTTCGGCGCCAGCGGCTTGTTCATGAGCGCAATGTCCGGCGCCGACTCATCTGCCGCCCACTCCTCCAGCTTGCCGCATACGAAGACAATGTCGTTCAGCACCCAGCCCAGCTCGGTGAGGTACGTCTCGAAGCCAGACTTGCCCAGATCCTTCTTACACGCGTCCACAACCAGCTGCTCGTTATCCTTAAGCCTAAAGAGCGCGCGCACGTACGTCAGCTAAATCGTCTGTCGCGGGGCCCGGCGCCATACCCACCCCCAGTAGAGCTTGCGCAGCTGCTTCAGCCTGAACTCGACCGGCCGCGTCTTCTGCGAGTGGAAAGTCGCGCGCAGCCCATCGACAATGCCCGGGATGCTGTCCGCGGGCGTGTACTGCAGCTCTGGAATCTTTTCCATGGCGGCGGCGGATGGCGTTCAATGCGGGTTTTGGTTTGTCGAGACGGGCGCGCTCATGCGGGGGTTGCTTGGCTTAAGTAAATGTCCTGGCAGCTCCGCTCGGCAGTGTCGGACCCTGGCCGACCCCATCCGTGCACATGGGACTGCCCGAAGAGCCAACCACGTCTTTGATACGGGCCATGACGAAAGGCGTGCCTGCTTGAGGACATGTCTCCGTGTACCATGAATCATCGTCACTCAGGCTTCAATGCATCAACACTCCACTCTCACGACTCACATCGCATCAATGTCCAAACTCAAAGCGAAGAAAACTAGGTAGATATTTCCCGAAAGGGACGCCTGCGTCTCTGGTGTGTGAGACCGGGGGGGTAGTAGTGCTACAAAAGGAGCGGCTAAAACAAAGTAAACAAAACAGAGAAAACAAAAGAAAAACGGTGCGGGATGCCTCCTCGCGCGCTTTTCCCCCCGAAGCCTCGGGCAAAAACGCCTCTAAACAAACGCCTCCTCGCCCAATATCCTGGGGAGGTATATATCCTGTATCCGCCAATCCAACGACTGGCCTGCCGGGCCGTCTAAGAGTCCACCACCGAGAACGCCGGCCCAGGAGCCGTACTCAAAGCAAAATCCAACAACCGTAGAGCGCCCGCTGCCGATTTTTTCCCCCAATCCTTTTAAAACCCTAGAGGTGAAAAGTGTCGAAGAATGAATAAAAAACCCCTTTCTGCCCTTCTAGCCCTGAACTTCTGCAACAAAAGAAAAATTGTTCAAGGGCAAGTCAGGCTCCTCCGCCTCTTCGAGGCAAGCCCAAGGTGCGGCGCATCGCCGTTTTCGCGCATGATGGCGCGAATGTGGGTGCGCTCCCGGGGACCGGCAGCGTTCCTCTGCAGCGCAGCACGGCCGCAGCACTGCGCGACCAGCTTCTGCAGCGCAGCCTGCTCCTCCAGACGCATGCGCTGCTGGCGCTTGGCCAGCTTACTCGTCTTGACGGCCGGGAGCTGGCCACCGTGCACCTTGGTGGAGAGGCGGGAAACGATCGGAGTGCCAGGAGTCTGAACGCGGGGAGTTGATTGGCCTTCGGTGAAATCGGCAACCAACGCCTCGAGCTCGCCACACTGGATCCTAAGAGCGCGGACGTTCACGGTGAGGGATTCGGCGGAGCTTTCGATCGAAGAAGCGGCGCCGGGGTAAGAGTCCCAGAAGGGGTCGGTGTTGATGGCGTCGGTGAGGGCGGCGGTGAAGAAAGGAATGGCGGGAAGAGCGTTGGAGTTTTGCATGTCGGAGTCGTTGGCAAGGTGCAGGGCGGTGTAGGTGAAGCGAAGGTGCTCCTCAGTGGAGAGGGTGTGCGAGACAATGCACGCTGATCGGTGGGTTAGTGGAAAGTCGCTTGAAAGCGGACGAAGCAGCAACAACAACATACCAGGACAGCCAACAAACTGGCACCACTGCTCCTCGTCGGAGAGGAAGCACTGTAGCCAGAGGAAGGCGCTGCGAGCGTCACCGGTAAAGGCCATTTCCAGGTCCTCAGGCTTGGAGCTGCAGACGGCGGCCTCGGCCAGGCGCGAGGCACGGGTGAAGAGCTGGACGACGGGAGAGACGAGAGCATGCAGGATATCGCGGTGCAGCAGCCATGTCGATTGAGCGTCGGACGAGCATTGTTGGTGGTCGGGGCAGAAGCTGGGGCAAAAGAGGGTTAGTCTTCCGGATCGGGCAGGTGGGAGGGGACAGGACATACCAGTTGCTGGCGTCTTGGGCGGTAGGGACGGAGCGCACCTCTTGGAGGGCAGCAACGTCGGCAGCAGGCGTGCAGAAGGGCGAGTAGAGGGCGGCCATGGTGTCGAGGTAGGTAGGTAGTGTCAGGGTATGGTGTTGTACAGCATTCGAAGCATAGGTACTACAGTATGCGCGGGCAGCAGGGGTGGAGGCGGATATCTATATGGCAGCGGCGGTCTGGGTAGATTGCTATGATGATCGCCTTTCACGCGTCGACTGGTCCTGGTTTCATTTCGTCACTGCGACTAAAAATACCGCAGGGCGGCCATGTCTTCTGCTCACCGTCCCCCGTCTCCTTTTCGCCGGTGACGGTCCCGCTTCGCTTTGGCGTGGCTGGCCGCGCTGGGCGAATCAACGTCGGCCCGACACAGGTCCAGAAGGCCCAGACGCGGGAGATCTTCCACTTTGTTCAAGACCAGTGGGGGAACACGAGAAACGACGCGCACGCTGTTGGGCCTGGCGCGCCGCCGCCTCCAGCCGCCCATGACCTCAGTGGCCGGGGGTGCCGCTGCCCGACGACCGACGGTTGCGGTTGCGGACGTGGTGGCCGGGGTCTGGTTGCGGAATATTGTACTCTACTCTACCCTGTCGCCTGGGATTATTTTTGGGAGAATGATCCAATAACCAGTTAACCAATTCTCCCACAGAGTCCATATCGCGGATCGTGCGAGAGGAAGCTGGTGGACGGGTCTCCTCCAGCACTGGGCTTTTCTGCTTTCCTGGCCTTCCCCTCATGGAAGCAAGCAGCACGGGCAGCGATGCCCTGCCGATCCAATACTCGTCAAGAGCTTGTCACGGTAGGAACACCTCATCAATGGGCAGCACGTCAAATAGCCTACTAGCGATCTACCGCCCATCGCTCCCCTCGTCACGCCCCAACCCGCGCTCCCCCCCCATTCCAGCAGCAGATCCCCAGAGCTGGCGTTCCGACTTTCCGACTCTCCCGACCTTTGTCCTGCGCGTTCCGCGACCGTCGGGACAGGTCCTTCGATTGCTTCATCAACCTGAAATGAGACGAAGCAATCTATCTCCTTCACGCCGCATCCGGGGCCGCCAGGGCCGTTCCGGCACGTAATTTCGAACGAGATTCCTTCCCTTTCACTTTGTCCTGTCCGCCAGCCAGGCAGATTGCGCCAGCGCTAGCGAGTGCATTAAGCGGGAGGGCCCGGACGTGTCTCAGTCCTGCCTGCATGCGTGAAGATATCCACAGTAGTGTAGTAAACAGTGCCCTGCACACCTCAGCGAGTGACACGCCCACACACCCGTGGCCACGGATGGAATGCTCCAGCACAGCACAGCACAGCACGCACGCATCTTCGCGAAGGCTCCACCACACCACGAGGAACAATCCCCGTGCCTCCCCAAATCCCCCCCTCATCCTCGAGTACGAACCCCCGCAAGCCCATCCCTGCCGAGCCCAAGCGCCCGCCCAGCCACAGAACCGCGTCTCGACCGTGTTGTCCTCTCTCTCTCCAACGAAACGAAACGAAACAAACAAACCGCAAACCGCACCCGCGCGCCGCCACCCACGCATCCGCCGCCGCCGCCAAGGCGCCGCCTCCCCCAACGGCCCCAATCCTCTGGCACCACCGCACCGCGGAAAAACGCGGCTAACAACCCAAATCCCCACGACGACCGCAAAAAAACGAAAAAAAGTATGTAGCCACTGCTACAGTAGCAGCGGAAATGCGGGCGTCGGTGGATACCTACCTACCCTACTCTACCGAACCTACCCTACCGCCGGGTCTCCAGTCCGACTGCCGGGCTAACTAACTACTCTAGGTACTCCACTCTATGTACCTCTGCTTGCTGCTAACCAACTTACTTGCTTAGCTACATAGCTAGCTCGCACCACTCGCGAGCAGGATGCGACCCGGGCAGCCTCGGTCTTCTCTCCCCTCCTCTCGCTCAATCTCTCGTCTCCTCCCTCTCAGACCCCTATGTAACTTCTGCTCGCCTACTCTACCCGCCGCCGCCGCACCGGCCCGCGCGCGCCATCCACTCTACTCTACTCTAGCCTCCTCGCGCCTCGCGGTGGCCGGGCTGGGCTCTGCCGGTGCTGCCACTTTCGCCCAGATTGAGGAGGACTGGAGGAGCAAGCCGCGGCTCGCTCCTTCCTCCTTCCATCAGTCCATCCACGCCATCCTGCCTTCCTATCTCCTGCTTTGCCTTTCCTTTCCTTTCTCCTATCTCTCGCCGTACTTTCTCCTATCTCGCGCCTCAGCCTCCCTCCCCTATCTCTTGCGCGTATCAGTCGACCCTGGTACGTACCTACCGGTAGATAGGAGTAGGTACGGATCCGTACTCTAGAGTAGCGCGCGGATGCCTACGCACGTAGATACCCTAACCCTATGCACCTACCTACCTAGCTAGCTACCTAGATGTCTTACCGTACCTTACCTTGCCGTGCCATACCTTACCTATGGCCTTCAGAGTACCTGGGTAGAGCACTCACTCACTCCTGCCTGCGCCTCCTCGCCTCATCTCGCCTCACATCGTTTCATCTCATCTCGTCTCGCCTTCCGTTGCCCTTGTCCTTGTCCTTGCTTGTCCTTGCATGTCTCTCCCCGCAGCGCTCGGAGCAGCAGCAGAACGCAGCAAGCAAGCAGCAGCACGCAGCACGCCTAGCCATCAAATAGCCACACATACCCGTCCCCAAAATAGCCCTCGCCCACGCACGCACACGCACACACACGCACGTACTCGCGCTCGCGCTCCCGTATCCGCGTCTCTATCTCCATAGGTACTACCGAGGTAGCCACACAGCCACAGCCACACCTGTATTTATAGCCCACTGTCCATAGCATCCGTAGAGCTAGAACCCAGCACGCAGCACGTACCTGAAGCCCGGCTCTAGAGTAGGTAGGGACGGATGACGGGCCTACTTACCGTCCGTAGGAGTAGGAAGAGGAGTAGGAGTACTTTCGTACATTCGTACATTCGTACATTCGTACATCCGCAGCACGCACGCGCCAATTACGAACGTGATGCCTGCCTACATGCCTCTCACCTCATGCCAGCCAAGCCAAGAAAAGTTACGCTCATCTTCCTTCTCTCGCGCTCTTTGGCTTGAATGTACGTACGCTTGTTTGTATGTATGTATGTTCGTATGTCGGACGCATCCGTGCGGGCAGCGGTGGATGGATGGTGCATGTACGGCTTGAGCGCATTTGTTTCATGTGCATGTGCGTTGAGAGGCGCGTGAATGGACGCGCTTTTGAGGCCGCGAGCAGGTTCGTGAGGTCGTGAGTTTGTGAGCTACGGCTTGAGAGCTTGGGAACTTAAGAGCTTGCGAGCAGCCCACGCGTCGTCCATGTGTAGGTAGTTAGGTACGTGGTAGTCAAGCACCGCAAGCACGTCCGAGGCAACGAGCAGCAACATGCAGCGAGCGACATCAGCGACCACTCTCCCACCCACGAACAAGCCCACACGCACACAAGCACACAGACACGTCCGCCCTCGCACGCGCGCAGCCAGCTAGCCTCTGCTTACCTACGCGGCCCAACACGGTATTGTACAAAGCGCAGCAAGCAGAGCCTCACTCACGAGATTGTATCAATTATCGCAGCCAACAATCACAACGGCAACTAGCAGACGCAGACGCAGACGCAGACGCAATGGCAGACGCAGACGCAGATGCAATGGCAGAGACAGGCGTGTGTGTGCGTGCATAGGCATGGGGGCCACAGCACAGCACAGTACAGCACAGCACAGCGTGGCCGCACAGCCAGTCGCCAGTTGCCACAGCCACGACCGCGGACGGCCGACGGCGAGAGCCGGGTAGGAGGTGCGCGCGCGGAGGCCAGGCGCGGAGGCCAGTTGCCAGCGTGAGACGAGCGACGAGAGGCAGGACCTACCGTGGTAGGGAGGAGGGTGTTTTGTGATCATGATCATGGGACACTATACACACGCGCACTTGGGACGTGGGTGATGGGCATGAGACCAGGCACGTGGCGGGCTGGTCTGCTGCTGTCACTGCGCTGCACTGCACAGCTCTGTCACGGCCGTTGTAACGCATGGGGCGACGTGCTCCGTAAGGAAGGGATGGGGGCGAGCGCAATGCAGCGCAGCACGCACCCACACGCTCTCTTTCTACAGAGTGCTGACACGGGGCCAGCCGCCGCCGTTAAGGCCAGCAGCCAGTTCGCGGCGCACATACATTGGACACAAGGATAAATAGCCGGCTGGCAAGAAGCGAGAGACGGAAGATGCGTCTAGAACGCTGCACGCGAGATGATGTGTCGAGCAAGCCCGAGCAGAAGCTTCATGAGATTGCTTTCATTTGCGCAAAGTGGCTGCTGTAACTAGGTACCAGCTGCTGTCGCCTTTTTCTTTTTTTATTGCGTCGCTTACTTTTCTCGTTTGGTGATTCCGGCTCCGCTGCCGGTATGCGTGTCTTGTTGGGTGGTATAAAATAATAAAGCGGAGCGGTTGCGCTCCTCCCCCTCGACGTCGATGGCAGCTGCCGATGCGTGCTACCACCAAAGTTGGGGGAGGAGAAAGGGCGCGACGACTCGACAACGCCTCAGGGGACCGAGGACGCAAGAGGTACTCTTCTCGCGTGGGAAGTTGAAAATCTAAAATACATGCAATATGCGCGGAGTCAATGGTGAAAAAGGGGGGCTTGCATCATAAGAAAAGAGAAAGAGAATCAAGCAAATAGCCAGGCATCCAGGCAAGACACCATCCTCAAAAGTACGCCTGCCGCCGCCCGTCGGTCCGCATGGACCGAGCCGATAGCCGAGAACCAATAACGCCGCCAAATGACAATCAGAAGATCGAAGAGCCAGAAGATCGAGTAGAAGATCGACACCAAGCAAAAGGCATCAGGAAGAGAGTAAAGGCGCATGCCGCGAATGTAGGAGAAAGCGCGGACGCCGAGGGCAGAGAAAGAGAGAAAAAACCAGCTTTTGGGGGAGGAAGATGGTTGGAGCAGCTGATCAGGTGATCTACATCTGCATCGCAGTGTCGACAGCCTGCAGCTGCGAGGGCATCGATGGCGCGTCGATGCTCATCTCAGTGTCATTGGTGGTCGGAGACTGCAGCGGAGTGGCCGGAGGAGGAGGGGTCGAGGTTGCGCGCGCGAAGACGACGTCGCTCTCGTAGACGATGGGGTGCTGGGTGAGGTTGCGGATGACACCCTCGAGCGACGTGCTGAGCAGACGGCACGAGCGCAAATCCTGGCTGAAGAGGAAGAACTTCGCCTGGTTGTCGGCGACGTCCCTGGCGTGGACGAGGAATGCGTCGTGCGCCTCGCTCTCGTGCAGGATCTGAGGACAAGCGAGCGGGTAGTGCCTAGAGATGTACTTGGCCCAGCCGCGCGCACCGTCTTTCTTCGCAGGATTGAAGACTATCTCCTTCCATCCGATGCCGAGGGCCATCGTCAGGTCCTGGATGGTGTGGCCGGCATCGTCGATTTGCATCGTCGTGGCCTTGTATGCGAGCGACCGCTCATCGAAGCCGCTTTCGTTGGATGAAGAGGAAACCACAGACTTGACGGCTGCTGGCGGAGGGCTGCTCGAGGCTTGCTTGGTCCTTTCGGTGCGCTGCGACTTGCGCGATACGGCAATTGGCCTCTCCTCAGGCTTGGAGGCCTCTTCGGATTCATGTTTCGTCTCAGCCCAGGTGCCAGTCTGCGACTCGGCGGCGATGGCGAAACCGGGCTCGCCGGGGTAGATGAGGGTCATGCCAGGGCCCATGATGGGCTCAGGCTTGGGCTTGGTGATGATCTTCGAGCCGTCCACTGGGGCTTCGTCACTGACGTCCTCCAGCGAGCGCTTGCGGCCGGCGACGGCGTTGGTCGGGGCGGCCTGGTAGTTGATCGACGGCGGCACAGGGTACTTTGAGACGCGTCCGGACGGGCTGGTGGATGCGCGGGAGGTGAAGGCCGGCGTGTTGAAGCGCTGGTCGAAGTAGGCTGGTTGGTGAGGCGGCAGCACCACAGTGGGCGACGAGGCATAGTAGTTGAGGCCCATGTTGACTGTGTGTTTAGTAGTCAGGAAGAAAAGAAATGAAAGTGAGATACGACAATGTGAAGCTTCGAATGGGCACACGCGACGGGATGGGTGCGCGTTGGATGATGGGACGCGACGCGATGGCGCGACGCGATGGACGGCGGTAATGTCGGCGATAGGCAGAGAGGAAGGATGATGAAAGAGGATGAGAGAGATGGATGGGAGATGGAGAGTAGAGAGGACGAGGGTGGGAAGAGGGAGGAATAAGTAGTAGAGATTGGGAGGGCAGAGGCACGGCAGCTCAAAGGGCGGCTGAATAAAAGTAGAAGTGAGATGTAGGAGGAATGGGGACGAGGGCTGGCGATGGTCGCCTTTTGAAGATACAGACGCCGACGGAAGCCCTGAACGTGAAGGTGGCTGGCGGTAGGGATGTGATAATGCGGCATTTCAGAGAAAGCGGAAAGAATACGCAGCGCTGTATGAAACGGCCCCAAAAGCCCCACTCTTCTACGCGCCGTCGGTCTTAATCGACTGCCAAGAGCCGGTTTGCGGACTAGTCTCTGGCTTGTGCGCGTCACGATTCTCATGCGTTGCGCCGAAATGTTACCGCCCGGTTACGCCGATACACCAACTCCCCTCACCTCTCATTGGCCCACCGGTTGCCGTCAGAAGGGTCTCACGTCATGTGATGCGCTGTCCCGAAGCGCTCTAGCGAAGCCTTGGCAGCCGACTCGGCGACTTGGCGCGTTTGCTGCGTTTGTTTGGCGGCGGGTGCAAAGCGCGGGAAAGTTTGGTGCTGCTCGACGAGCACCAGCTTTCAAGCCGCCGCAACCCCCTCCCTGTCGCCGAGAAAGAAAACCCCGCCGCAGCGACGCGTACAAAGTCAAGATGCAGGCTCCCGTGGTGGTTATGAGTTAGTCTGCCCCTGAATGGAGTCGACCCTAAGCTGACGGATGCGACGCCAGACACCCAGTCCGGGGAGAGGCAGTTTGGCCGCAAGGCACAGCTCTCCAACATCACCGCCGCCAAGACGTGAGTGCTCCCCATCTGCCCTCCCAGCTGCCCTTTTCTCATGCCATTGCAGCGTCGCAGACATCATCCGGTCATGTCTCGGTCCCAAGGCCATGCTGAAGATGCTGCTCGACCCTATGGGCGGTATCGTCCTGACCAACGACGGCCATGCCATCCTCAGAGAAATCGAGGTCGCCCACCCCGCCGCCAAGAGCATGATCGAGCTCAGCAGGACGCAAGATGAGGAGGTCGGAGACGGCACCACCAGTGTCATCATATTAGGTACGTCACAGGCACTTCAGGAGGTGGGCATCTGGGTGCTGACTGGATGCAGCTGGTGAAATGCTGGCGCAGTCCCTTCCTCAGCTGGAGCGCAACATCCATCCCGTTGTCATAATAAACGCCTTCAAGCGCGCCCTGAAAGATGCCATCTCCATCATCGAGGAGATCTCGATACCCGTCGACGTCAACGATGACAAGGCCATGTACTCGCTCATCCAGTCCTCCATCGGTACCAAGTTCGTCTCGAGGTGGTCGGAGCTCATGTGCAACCTGGCTCTGAAGGCGGTGCGGACCGTCTCCCTCGAGGTCGGCAACGGCAAGCGTGAGGTTGATATCAAGCGGTACGCACGTGTGGAGAAGATACCCGGTGGTGAAATCGAGGAGAGCTGTGTCCTGGACGGTGTCATGCTGAACAAGGACATTACGCACCCCAAGATGAGGAGGCGGATTGAGAACCCCAAGGTCATCCTGCTCGACTGCCCGCTGGAGTACAAGAAGGGCGAGTCTCAGACCAACATCGAGATCACCAAGGAGGAGGACTGGAACAAGATTCTGCAGATTGAGGAGGAGCAGATCAAGACCATGTGCGACGCTATAATAGCGCTCAAGCCCGACTTGGTCATCACGGAGAAGGGTGTCTCTGGTAAGTGGCATGAAAGTGGCCCCGCATCGGGGATTGCGTTTTTAACATGGTTTCAGATCTTGCTCAGCACTTCTTTGTCAAGAACAACATCACCGCTCTCCGTCGCGTGCGCAAGACGGACAACAACCGTATTGCCCGTGCCACCGGCGCAACCATTGTCAACAACGTCCAGTCCATCCAGCCCTCCGATGTTGGTACCCGCTGCGGCCTGTTTGAGATCTCCAAGATTGGTGATGAATACTTCACCTTCCTTACCCAGTGCGAGGACCCCAAGGCCTGCACGATCCTCCTGCGCGGCCCCTCCAAGGACATTCTTAACGAGGTGGAGCGCAACCTGCAAGATGCGATGGGCGTTGCGCGCAACGTCATCTGGAACCCCCGCCTCTGCCCCGGCGGTGGTGCGACCGAGATGGCCGTGGCCGTGGGTCTCGAGAAGAAGGCCAAGGCCGTCGAGGGTGTTGCGCAGTGGCCGTACCGCGCTGTGGCCGAGGCCATGGAAGTCATCCCGCGCACGCTGATCCAGAACTCTGGCTCTTCGCCCATCCGCGTCCTGACGCAGCTGCGCGCCAAGCACGCTGAGGCCGAGAACGGCAGCACGTGGGGCATTGACGGCGACAGCGGCAAGCTGGTGGACATGAAGGAGTATGGCGTGTGGGAGCCCATGGCGGTGAAGGAGCAGAGCGTCAAGACGGCGATTGAGAGCGCATGCCTGCTGCTGAGAGTCGACGACATTTGCGCTGCGAAGGCGGCGAAGCAGGCCGGTGGCCCTATCGGTGGCGGAGAGGAGTAAAACGCTATCATGACGAATCGGGCGGGCTAAAATAGCGGCCTTGTCGGGCACGATTGTGGGCAAATTAAAAAAGAATTGATGTACTGATGTAGCATAGAATTTTCTGCCCATCGAATTGAACGTCAAACAAGTCCATTTTGTGGTGTACGAAAACATGTGCAGCTAACACTAAGCAGTCGACATATCATGGCTTGTCTAACGTCTGTCTGGATTGCCTGCAGAGTATCCAAATTTTCTTGATGCTTTCGTCAGTTGAAGACATGTCTTGCAGGTCTTCTACGTCACTAACCGACGCATGTAGCTGCTGGTCTGCTGTTATTGTCTTGCCAATAAACGTACAAATAGTGCGTCTCATGGAGAAGAACCAACGTCTTCAATATTTTTCTCGAAAGTCAAGAGGGGAGGAGGCTAAAGTTGCTCGTCACAAGCTACCAAGATCCCCTTAAGACCAGTTCACGTGGGGCAGCAGCAAGCCATTCCGTAACACTTCGACTCGCCTAGCTACTTGACAGTCTGGAAGCAGGTTGATGTCCTTGGCTGTGTGCTTCACGAGTTTGTTTGTTCTGGGGTGAGAGGGGTTGTTTAATGTCTGTCTATCTGTCTGTCTATCTGTCTGTCTATCTGTCTGGCTGGCTGGCTGGCTGGTTGTTAGTAGTGTTGGTCACTGTAGTCTGTGGACGGTTTTGAGATTAGTGCTATGGGGTTTGTGGCCTTGTTGAAGTACTTCTGGATGGGTTGGTGGTACTGATGAACGTCTGCTCGTGGAGGGGTTTAGGCTTCTGGATGTAAGTTGCGGGGTTCGTGACGGTCTGGTTGAGGTCTGGTTCAGTGTCGGGGGGTTGATGGGTTGTTTTCATGGGGTGGGATTTGAAATATCTATCCCTTCCTGATGGTGTTTCTGTGATAACTCAATCTATGGCCCGCATTAAACTATCCATCGAATTCAATAATCTACGAGTTTCTTTCCTACCTTTTCCACCTGCTTGGGTATTATCTATTGCTCTGCTATGTTCCGCTCTAAAATTTACACCAGCAATGATGGTTTATTTTCTACTAAACTCTTATACTTAGATACTGGCCTATTAATCGCCATCTCGTCTGACGCCGAGACCGAGGATAACCATGATACTAATGATAACGATAAAGACGATATAAAGATTGCTTCTGCCAGCGCCAGCACTGGCGACGTACAACTAGAGGGATAGCTTTATATGTTAAAACTCCGAGGACGAAAAAGTAAAGGACGTCGAATATTAAGAAGAACGACGATTTAACGGCGGTCCATATATCGCTTGTCCGTATATCGCTTGAGTGCACTTCAAGGAAAGAGTGAGACGAGGTCAGACCATGCTAGGACTTCCATCCCTATTATCTAGTAGATAATACCAAAAATTTAAAAGTGTAAATGACTGTCATCTTCATAGACTAATACTACCACGTTATGAATTGAGGTGTTAGAGAAGGTTAACACTATTTGTTTTCGATACATATTTTACTCTTGCTCAGAGGGCCGATATAGTAAACAGACGATACGAAAAGGTCGTTTTAGAGGTACAGGCGGCCCTTCGTACTATGCTCCACCGTATCCGTATAACTCTACTCTACTCCCTTAGCAAAGGGCTATGGTGTAGTTTGTTTAAAGGTCAAACAAGTCCATTAGGTCGAGCTCTTATACATTTATCTAGGTGATAGCGTAGCATTCATCTCATTGAAAATGAAGCTATGCCCATGGATTCAATTATTATTTTGACGAAATAGAAATGTTATAGATTATGAAACTAACCATAGCTTCCTCTTCTACCAAACTTACGTGAACTTGCTGGTCAGCCAAAACCTAATGCTGAGCAAACCTCATATCACGTGGTTGGCCCTGAGCGGCCGGCAACACGAAATGTGAACGTGTGTGGATAATTCTGCCTCTCGAGAAAAAGTTAACCAATGCAAACTTCAAAGGCTTGGAAGTGGGTTCGTGATTACTATCCAGTGATTACAGCTCGAAGCTCGCCGGGCTGTGAATCCACTCTGATGGTCCATGATGTCATAGGGACGCAATTTTCCTAACGAAGGCAAATTGGATAAGGTATGACGGACTGAGTGGATATCAAGAACCAATTCCGCAAAATTGCAGCTAATAAAGAACCTCATCAGCTTTTTCTCAGCATCAGCTCTTACCTACTCTGCAAAACAACAAGCAGTTTCTCAGCAGCCCAGCAAAAGAACATCCATCATGGCAGCAAAGAAGATTCTCATCATTCTCTCCGACGCCAACTCTTTCCCTCTCCACAACACCGGAACAGAGGGCAAGACCATTCAGCAGCCCTCAGGCTTCTTCCTGATGGAGCTCGCCAAGCCTCTGCAGAAGATCCTCGACAGTGGCTACGAAGTAACTTTCGCATCACCAAAGGGCAACGAGCCCAAGCCGGACCCCAACAGCGAGTCGCTCCTCGCATTCGCGGGCAACTTCTACGAGCGCCAGCGCGAAAACGACCTCATTGAGCGCATGAAGAAGGAGAACGGCTTCACCAGCCCCAGGAAATTCGGCGATCTCAGCGATGAAGAGCTCAAGGGATTTTCAGGCGTGTTCATTCCCGGCGGTCATGCGCCCCTGGCCGACCTTGGCGACAATGCCGAGCTTGGTCGCATTTTAGACCATTTCCACTCCCAGCACAAGCCCACTGCTGCCATCTGCCATGGCCCGTATGCTTTCTTGTCCACGAAGTACGGACCCAAGGGCCAGTTTGCGTACAAGGGTTACAAGCTCACCAGCTGGTCTGATGCCGAAGAGAAGTTCATGGAAACCATTTTCCGCGGCGAGGTCGAGAAAGTGGAGAGTGTTTTGAGAGAGAACGGAGCGGAGATGATCGAGGGTCCCGGCGAGAAAATCGGTAACATCACTATTGACCGTGAAGTCGTGTCTGGTGGTAACCCTATGGCGGCCGATGCGCTTGGTAGCAAGTTTTTGGAGATGCTGAAGGCATAAGAAAATGGCTGGACAAACTTGATGATTGACGAATGATGAATTGTCGTTGAATCGACTATGATATTACTATGAAAGAAAATACTTCTTCTTGCCTTGAGGCCTTCTTGTGCAATACTGAAGATGTGTTTACAATGAAAAGTGAGGTGCGTCGAAAAGGTTGCAATCATCAGACGCTATATTGAAGAAGAGAAGCTATATCGCACACGTGGCAAGCTTCTCTCCAGTGTGTGCTTCATGAACGAAAATCATAAGACTTGAGGCCGCGCCTAAATCTAAGGCGCATTATGACGTGAAAGAACTTTGACAGGATCCCCATGTTACCTACATGCAAACAAGCATTCACTACAGCACCGAAGGAGTCTGTTCCTTGCCGTATTTTGGACCCTACTTCAGGACCCCAACTTAAATATAGATAGAGTTAACAACAAACTTATTTGAACGCCTCTGTTTACACAGAGGGTTGCTTGAAGGAGTATAAAGCTATCAGGCAGAAGTTAGAGCTTCATATTGGTCTTGATGCTCCGAGATGATGAAGTGATAGAAAGTGATTTTTGGTGGTTCACGTGAACGCCAGATTCGGCCGAGGTTGGATAAAGACATCCTTGTGTCCATGGAGTTGCTCAAGCCTTGCAAGAATTAGCGAGCGGGGAAGGACGATAGTGACCCAAGAAACGAATGCGGATTGCGGAGAGTGTCATATGATATCCGAGCCTTGGTCTTCGTGAAGGCTAGCCTGGAGATTTTTGAAGGCCGAATTCGCAGCTCTCTCACGCCATTATCTACAACTCTAAGAGTGAATTCGGCATTTGCTGCACGTCTCCAGAAGGGTAATTCCCTTTCCAGTCTTAGCAAAGACGGGCGGAATTAATACCTCACGGCGGATGGCGTTTGTCTTTAGAGAAGCTGCCGTGACGATCTTGCACTGGGCTCAATTCCGGACATTGAGAATGGTCCGCATGCGGCGGAAAAGGAAAAGGCAGGATTCTAGACGTCCAGGGTCTCGCGACGGCCATGGCTTTGGGCCAGCAAAAGAAAAGCTCGCCTGATATGCGAAGCGATTTGGGAAAGACGGTGGCTGATCAAGACTCCAGGATCGCGATGAAACAACCGCCCAAGACGTCCGCTCGTCTGGAGGAACCCTGTCACCGAAACAATCTCGCCATCTGCTGCCCCTGAGATTTTGATAATGGGAGCGTCTTAAGAACCAGGCCGAAGGATCATCTCGCTCGCCGAAAGCGGCCTAGCGCGCTGTAGACCCTGCCAATGATCGCAGGTGCGAGCCCACACTCTCTCCGGTGACTCCTCCCCCACTGGTCATTTTGTTTTCGCGCTTCCGACCGCGATCGCTGTGCGGATGAGACAGCTAGCGATCGTTATCCGGACGCTGTAACTGCGGAGTGCGGATGTGGTGGGTGCGCTGATGGACGCCCGGCGCGCTCCAAGGCCTCCAAGGCAGCCCAGAGAGGAATGCAGCCAAAACGCTTTTTTGACTCTCTCGATTTTCCACTCCGAAAGAGCCTCCGGCCGACTGGCAGGTTGCTTTTGCGGCTATGTAACGGTTTGCCGGTGGGTGACGTACGCTCTGTCCGGAAACGACGTTGCCGAGGCGGTTTTACTGTTATTGTGGCACAGCAGGCATCTACATTACGACAACGTTTGTTCTTCAGGAATACGCGCCGGCCGGGGTATCATTGACAGTGGACCTCGACTTGACTCGAGCCACGGCCGCAGGTTGCAGCGGCTGTCTGGGCTTGCACCGCGGAACAGCGGAAGAGGCGCTTTTGGTCATTCCCCCCTCCAAATCCGTCCCTCATTGGGCGCTCCTTGATCCTGCAAAAATTCGCCTCGTGGATCCCTTGGATCTGCCACTCGCCTCGTAGCACTGCCGTTGCGCATTAACGAGCCGTCGACGAGGACGGCAATCGTGCGTTTGGCATCTTGCACGGCTTCTCGGGTAGAGTACCGGCTCCCGCATATTGCCACAACTGTGGGCAGTCAAAGCATTGGACACGTGCAGTAATAAGCATTTCTTGGCGTATCCGATGGTGAAGCCCCGATTGCCAGGACCAAGGATCCAGAGATCCGTGCAAAAGGACTTGGTCCAGGTTGCCTCGTTTAAGCCTGGTCATTATCACCCGTGAAAGAGTGGCGGCAGGGCCAAGGAAAATGATGCCGACCTGCAGAGCCATGAGACCGCGGGCTACCATCCAGCTGGATCCAGGAACGCGCGCAGATCCCACTCCCGGAGGGGGAGGGCACCCTGGGATTTCAATGCAATAGTTGAGTCGTTCTCACACTCTAAGTTCCCTTTGTGATTCTACCACCACCACACTTGCAGACTCGAACACATGCAGATGGCAATGTAACTAAGGGACAGGATCTCTCTTTAAGCATATGCCACAACTTTGTCGTTCTTTTATAAACCCCGCCTCAACCCCTACCCAACTACCAGTCTAGCGGTTCACACCCTTGTGGTGGTTAAGGTGCATAAGAGCTGCGCTCTCTCCTGGATTTTGAAGCCTGTCCCTTCACCCACGATCAACCATGAGCGATTCCCAGGGCCCGACGGTCGTTACCGTCTCGGTAGTGTTCGCTGTGTTGACGGCCATTGTTATGTCTATGCGTCTCTATGCTCGTGTCTTCATTGTACAAAAGTTGGGACTTGATGATGGTAAGCCAACCAAACAGTAAACCTATCTTCGGACATTCAGTAACCGTATTGCAGTTTTGATAAGCGTAGCAGCAGTAAGTGGGCTGAAAATACACGTCGAGGCGGCTAGGTCTGACCGTTATCCTTCAGCTTCTGTCAATTGCTTTCATAGTAGCAACTATAATGGGTAAGTTGAGTGAGGCATCCCCCTATGTATGCAGAGCTGACAGATGAAATAGCCGTGGAACATGGATTGGGCGACCACGTACAAGACGTTTACCCTAAGCGTGGTATGCAAAACTACGTCAGCTATCTTCAGGTAGACATCCAGACTCTCCGAAACAACAACCTCAGTACTGACGAAATCAGATCGTATGGCTTTCTTCCGTTTTCTACAACGCGTGTCTTGGCTTTATCAAAACTTCCGTGCTCGCTCTTTACATGCGTCTCGGAGACCGCGCGCTCAAGAGACTTGCCCAAGTCATGATCGGTGTGGTTGCCGCCCAAGCCGGAGCAAACGTCCTTGTCTGTATTTTCCAGTGCTCTCCGGTCTCGGGCGCCTACGACCTCAAGATTGCCGCTACGGCCAAATGCGTCAACATCAACGCTTTCTACCTGGCCAATGCCGCCGTCAACATCTTCACTGATCTATTGACGTATACCCTTCCGATCAAGCTGGTCATGCGCTTGCAGGTGCCGCGGCAGCAGAAGATCGGTCTTGGTGTCATGCTGTGCCTTGGATTATTGTAAGTTCCATTCCGCCAAATCAATATCAGGGTTGCCCCCTAATGCAAGACAGTGCGTGCATTTCCAGCATTATCAGAATCACGTTTGTGCCTGCAATGCTCACATCCGCCGACGCAACCTACGCCATCTCGGGCGCGATGTACTGGTCCGTGATTGAGACGAACGTGGGGATTCTCGCAGCCTCGATTCCCTCCTTCAAAGTCATCGCCAAGCGCTACGCGCCGCGCCTGCTCGGCAGCTACTACGAGTCGAACCACTACCCGTCGGGCAACAAGTCGCGCAGCGGGTTCTCGTCGAAAGCGTTCCACAAGATGGGCTCGTCGCAGCATGGCGGCACGATGAAGAGCAACGCCAGCGTCGCGCTGCGCAGCATGAACCGCGACGAAGGCGGCGGCGGCGGCACCGGCAACACTGGCTTCAAGAACAAGACGGCCGTCCAGACGCACATCGAGCAGGACGTGGCGAGCAACAGTTCTGAAGAGGCGCTAACGCTGCCGGACGGCCGCATCGGTGTCCGCACCCATATCACGACGCAGTACGATACCGCGGCGCGCTCGCAGAGCGGCCACAGCGACGCGGGCAGCTTGTACGAGACGGTCGAGGGAAAACCCCCCGTCCAGAGCGACGGCAGGTTATAGTAATTTCACTGCGCGGGTGGGGTTGGGCTAGGGGTCTGCTGGGATACTGCTTTGGGTTGACTGGGGTTTCGGGCTGCAAGAGATACCATTACTTTACTTTGCGGGGGATTGATCGGAAAAGGAAAGGGAAAGGGAAAGGGAAAGGGAAAGGGAAAGGGAAAGGGAGGGAGGGATTCTGATCGCCCGTGTACTTCTACTACTAGTTATTGCTTTCCTTTGTTGGGCTGAAA